TCATCTTCCCAGGGCCCTTTCTCATTAAGCGGCTGAAGTTTTGTAAGGACAATGTGCTCTCCCACTCATACTGTCTGCATCCTGATATCATCAAGCTTTCCTGTTCTGACCATCGCATCAATAGCATCTATGGCCTCATCATCATTCTCACAACTTTTGGACTGGATTCTGTATTCATCCTCCTCTCTTATTTGAAGATCCTGATCACTGTTCTAGGCATTGCCTCCCGGGAAGAACAATTGAAGGCCCTCAATACTTGTGTTTCCCACATCTGTGCTGTGTTGCTGGTCTATGTCCCTATGCTGGGGGTATCCATTATCCATCGCTTTGGGAAGCATGTTCCAGCTGTGGTGCACATCATCATGGGCTATGTGTACTTATTAGTCCCTCCTGTTCTCAACCCTGTTGTATACTGCATTAAGACTCGGGAGATACGCACCCGTATTCTGGGAAATCTATGGAAAATTTAGCAGAGAGGAATGTAATGTCATTTGTATATTTCTGAAATAATCCCTATGAAATTAACTTATACTTTAGAAAAAAAGTACATCACTTAGAAATATTTATATATGCACAAACCTATTGAACGGGTTTGTCTCCCTCATTATTCTGGGAGTTCTTGAAAATAGCAACAATAATTTGTGACCTTTCTCTTCCCTTAAGAAACTCAGCTAAAATAGATGAACAATAATTACAAATAAAGAGTGAACCCTTAGTTATCTTTATATTCAGAAAGTCACTAATATAGATAGGGTCCCTAAAAAGAAAGTGTTAAAAATAATAAATAATAGAGAATCATAAGTTTTTATTTTCTCTCTGTTGTATGTTTTTCTTCCTTCTAGGACTATACTATTTTAAGATAGGAAAACAACTACCTGGAAAAGCCTCATGGAACTAATTCTATGTTGGATCATTTGCATCATTATACCTTATTGGAATTCACAACTGAGAACATGCATCACTTTATCTCCGTCTCCTTTTGTGTCCCCTACCTGGTTGAAATAGTGGGCAACTGCATCATCCTCTGCATCACCCACATTGACAAGAATCTCCATTGTTGTTGTTGTTGTTATGTGCCGTCGAGTCAGCCCTGACTCATAGCGACCCCTCCTTGTGTTTCCAAGGCAGTATCACTACGGAAATAGGATTGCCCAACCTTCCTTCCAAGGAGTGGCTGGTGGGTTTGAACCGCCAGCCTTCTGGTTAGCAGTCAAGTGCTTTAACCACTATGCTACCAGAATC